AAACATTTTGTTTAGAAGCTTTCTCGATATGGGACGGTAATTACTGGCAAGGTTTCGCTCACCAGATTTATAAATAGGGTGGACAAGGGCCTTTTTGAAGGCATCAGGGAAACAGCCTGTCGATAGGGCAAGATTACAAATATGGGTTATATATGGAACTAAGTGGTTCTTGCAACTTTTTAGTAACATAGAAGAGATATTGTCCCATCCAATGGCACAGTCTCCTTTGAGGGATGAAATAAGGGAGTCTACTTCAGTTGTCGTAGTGTTCAGTAGAACAAAGGACTGTTGCGTAGAGTGGATATGTGAGACTGATTTTATAATATGGGGCCCGTTCGATGATGCCGATTGCGATAGTATCTCCTCGGCGAGTGACTTACCAACACCAGCAAAAAAAGTGTTTACATGATTTACAGCTTCTATTGAGGTGGGCCTACAAGAAAGTAAGTCGCTGGAGCTTGAACGTGATTTGTTAAGGTTGGTCGCATATCGAATGGCACTCCATAGCTTCTTGCTATTAGTTCCAGCCTTCTTAATTAGTTCACTGTCATATGCAATTTTTACCTTTCTAAGTAGCGAGTTACAAAAATTTCGGTATCTCTGATAGGTTTTCTTTAATATGTCGTTATTTGGATCTTTTTTCAGTTTTTTATGCATTCCGTCCCTGTTTCGAATACACCTTAGTAACCCAGGAGTTATCCACGGCTTGAGAATTCTACGTCGTCGAGGCAAGACATGGGACTGTGTGTGCATGTCAATGGCGAGTTGGAGTTTTTGGATAAAAATATTCGTCGCAAGGTTAGGGTCAGTCATTTCCAGGATAAAAGAGAAATCTGTGTTGGTAACCGTTTCTTGAAGCTGGGAATAATTGATTTTTTTACGGGACACAGGCGGGGCTGCAATAGACTTTTTTATGTCAATAGCAAGAAGAACTGCTTCATGATCTGTGACCGAGGACTGGATTATAATGGAGTGAACCGTCAGTTTAGTTTTAATAATAGTGTGGTCGAGACAGGCAAGATTACGGGTAGGCAAAGTGTGAGCTGGCAGTAAGCCATGATAGGCGAGCATATTTAAATAGTTTTCTGTGTCTTGATCAGGGTGTAATGACGAGATATTGATGTTTAGGTCCCCCATGATAATAATATTTTTGAACTTTTTAAGACCGGTTAAGGTCAAGTCTAAGGAGTTTATAAAATTTTGGGCACTGCGAAAAGCACATGGACGGTATATAGCGAGAAGAGCTGTTTCATCTTTTATTTCTATGAGCACACAGCTCGCATCTACCACGTTTGGTTCAGATAAAGAAACCCTAGAGATGGAGCTATTATAGAAAATAACAACACCATCGTTTTGGTTCGAAGGATTGGATGAAGAATATGAAGAGAATCCGTCAAGAGTTGGAATAGCTGGATCACCCTGAAGCCAACATTCTGTAAGGATAATAAAATCCATTTCCGTGTCTAAGGCAGTCAACAAAGTGGTAAAGCTATTTATGTTGGCTGATATACTACGAATATTTTGGGTCAGTATTTTTAGAGCCTTGTCCGAGGAGTTTTTGTTGAGGACTGAGCGAACGTCAGAGGGATCACAGCTTGTCGCGTGGCCAATTGATACCTTATCAATTTTTTTGATCAAGTCGCTATCACAATTGAATTTTATAAATAAAAATTACAGGTGCAGCATTAGGGATAGAGGCTGAGCTCTTTGAGTCTGTTTGTGACAAGAAAGTGATATTATAATAAACGAGTGTATGGTTGTGTGCATTTGACATTAAGAAGGAATTTTTTATTGGCTTAGATAGCTGAAATGAATAATATTTATATGGGATATGATTCGATAATGTAGTTATGAGTGAGTAGTGAGGTAAGTATTGGGTTGTGTTAAGTGTTTTCTTTAGGTATAGTGTTTTAATTAAATTAAAAGAGTAAAGTGCTATTATAGGTAACGAGTGATAAACTAAATAAGTAGATAACAATAGTAATAAATTTAAAAATGTTAGTTTCAGTTTTTTGACTTTAAAGTTGTTAGTTGGGTAATTTGGGTATCGCTATTCAAGACTATTAGTCTACCATTATCTTCTTGTCGAAGGAGAACCCTTCCGTTTGCTGTCCAGCAATGTTTATAGTTCTCGGCTTTGGCAAATTCTCGCGCCAGATAAAAAAGCCTACGAGTACGCGCAGTAAGGTTCTCCGACATGTAGATTACTTGGCGCGGGTAATTAGGCCCCAACAATGAAGAACTCAGTTTGCCATGGGGGTTCGATTTGTTGAAGTCCTTGTAAGCCCGAAGAATACAGTTCTTTAATATCACCGAGTTCAGGGTGACTATAACAGTTTTCGATTCCTGTTTGGAAGGCAGAATACGAATGTCATAGACATCACGGGGGGCAACTTCCGTTCCCAGCTCCTTAAAAATCAGGTCGCACGTTCGAATCAGCTCTTCTTGAGGTAGATTTTGTTTTATAGGGAGGTTACGTATTTCCAATGAGTTGGCACGGGAAAGTCTGTTGTTCTCTTCCGTGGCCTCTTCAGCACTGGACAAGCGTAGGTCAAAAGCCTTTATCCGCTCCTGTTGATTATTGATTTGTTCACAAATATCATCATATTTTTCAGATAGGAAGTTAATAGACTTTTCTATCTCTGCATTCGATGCCAGCAATTCTGCATTTTGCTTCTTGATGTCGTTCATAGACTCCAGTATACCTGTTAGCTTGCTGTCGGTGTCCTGCTTCCACGATGTGAGTTTATTAATGAAGACATCAAGCTTAGACTCGTCAGAGGAGCCACAGTCACATCGGCGTCTTTTACTGGATCGTAAGGTGACGCAGGCATCGGGACTTCTATCGTCAGTCCCTTGGTTGAGGTCGGGAGCCGAGCCGTATGTTATGTTTGATTTGTCAGTTGGTGAGCGCAACATTTTGGCTGAGTTGAAGCGGCTGTTATAGCGTGAAGGAAGCTCGAAATAATAATCACACGCTGCTAGTGTCCGTAGCAAATCAACGTAGCACGTAGAACGCACCGCGCGTATAGACGAACCTCGTAGCAAAGGCGCGCTCGTAGCAAAATCCGTAGGCGCTCGTAGCAGTTGACTTGTGGTTGAAAAATTCGGCGCGGCCGCTCGTTGTTCTCGTGGCTCGGTTGGGGCAGGCGCTGCGCAAATCCAAGCGGACCCGAGTTCGAATCCGGCGCAGAAACAAAAATTTTTCGATCACTCACGCTGATGCCTTCGCGACGCAAGGGGGCTTCGGAGGTCAGTGGAGCGCCTCAGCACGCAGGGCAAAGCCCGGGGGCGAAGTCCCACGGCACGGCGACACTCGCGCGGGACAGCACGACACACGTCCGATCGGAATCACAGCCGAGAGGCGAGAGGAAAAACATCAAG